TATATATATATATATATATATATATATATATATATATATTTCATCCATATCTGCTACAGTACATCCACTGGACAGTTGTGGCTACCAAATGATTATTGATGATCATAATAAAACAAATTATGATTTATCTTACTGTAATAAAACAAAATGCCATAATTCACATAAAAAAAATATTATAGTACTGGGTATGTGATTTTTAAAAATATTTTTCCTTCTTTTTTTATTTTTTTTAAATAAAATGAAGAATCATTATTATTCACCACAACAAATACTAATCTGTGCATATGCTACTGTTTGGGAACAACATTTTTCAATTATTCATATGAAGTTTTTGTAAACTGAAAAATAGAAAGTATATCTTATGATATATTAACAAATGATTTAACAAAAATGATAAACAATACAAATTTAGACTAAGTGTTATTTAGACCTTTAAGATAGATAGAGTGGTAGATAGAACGACAGACAGACAGACAGACAGACAGATAGATAGATAGATAGATAGATAGATAGATAGATAGAGTGGTAGATAGAACGACAGACAGACAGACAGACAGACAGATAGATAGACAGACAGACAGATAGATAGATAGATAGATAGATAGATAGATAGATTGGTAGATAGAACGACAGACAGACAGACATACAGACAGACAGATAGATAGATAGATAGATAGATAGATAGGCACACCGACAGTGTGCGTTACGTGTCATCAGGGGGCGCTGGATCCTTATATTGAACACCAATTTGTTATTAAAATCATTACAATTAGTCAAAAGGTACTAGTCTTAAAAACTCGTGTCATTCTGATGTTTAAAAAATAATAATTCGATCTCAGGTCTTGTCACTTTATGTTTATAATCACTATGCCAACAGCACTATTTAAAAACAACTTTAGCGCAATAAATTACAGTGCCAATCAACTTTTGTAGGTAACAAACAACAGCCACAATAAAGCTACTAAACAACGACTTCATTGCATTGTCTTATTTTAATGCTACTACAATTAAACGTTAAATCAAACAAATAATTTATGATAGAAAAACCACTAATTAAACGCAAAATGTCAGTGTAATGTATTATCATCCTATCTGTCGTTCACATCTAGATCAATCGCGAGGATTCTCCAATAATTACAACAGAGAGCAACTTCCCTTTCAACGAAATTCAAATGTGTGTGCAATCCCTTTAAATGAACATACCACTTCAAGAGAAGGTAAGACACCTGACCGCGAAACTGAATAACTGAGATATTTTGTCTGTCACAGAGACTCGATCAGGTCAGCTAGTTATTAAATGTCGCCAATATTGTAAACAACAGAAATCACAAAGGTTTAGTTTGATTTGTTTTTATATGTTATTTGTTTTGGTACGCGTAAACCCCTATCCCCGTGACAGATGGTAGCGCCCAGCCCATCTGTTCTCCTCCTGTGAAATGCGGATTGAAACAGATTGTACGACTCTACGGGTCGCAATGGCTACTGCACCGCAAGGACAACAAGTTTTACTGTTCAGTTAAACAAGTCCTATGTGAGGAACACGCCGGACGGAATCGTCTAAGCCACACTTTTTAATGTGAGACACTCGTTGGATAACAGAAAAATGTCCCAGGGATGTATAACTTCTGTGGAGGAAATCCAGTCTTGCTGGGAAGTCCCCGCCATAGCGCACTTCTGCTCTCTCTTCAGGACGGCGTTCAATTTACCAGACTTTGAAATCGAGGTAAATTATACCTGTACGCACTTACGCCTCCGTTTCCTTTCCGCCAGGTTCATTAAAACGAAACTAAACAAAACAAACTCAACTTTGTCGTATTTCCCAGCCACAAGACTTTGTTTGTTACTTTAAACATTCACACTGTTAGTGAGTTAACGTTAATAATGGTACGCCAACGCAATTCTCTGATAGTGATATTGATAAAGTCAGTTATTTAGCGTTGGTTTATATAATAACAGAACTAAACCGTCCAGCCAGACGTCTACCCAAAACACTGGACGTGCTGACTCTTGTGTTTGTGATTCGTTTTTACTTCAAAATACGATTTTATTAAAGACAAAACTTGTTTTGTACGTGGTTAGTAGTGTTTGGTTTTGTCTTTGTTTATAAACTGCGTGACTGAGTTGGGTTATATATTGTAGGCTAGACTTTGTTTCGCCTTGTTGAAGTTCAACAAATTGTTAATATAAACGGTCTGTTCGTATTTTAGCGTTTAAATTGAAAGTTTAAATTTATTAAAGTCGTCTGTTCATTCTCGTAAGACCTGTTTTCATTCTTTCATTTTGAGATTCACGCCGCAAGTGGCGTCGAATAAGATTGACACAAACTTTCTAGTGACTTGATTAACTGGATGACCTGGGCTTGTTTTGTTGTGCTTGTTGTTTAAGCTTGGTCCTTTGTTATAAACTCAATCCAATTTCATGATTATTGGGTTACAAGTTTATTGTTGGATCACAGGCTGCCTTATTGGTAATTGTTCCATACAGTCTGTCTGTTTTGTTTGTGTTTTTGATTTAGTCACTTTACAATGATGCTGAAAAATTAGTCTCAAGTTGACCTACCGATGTGAATGTAAGCCAGAAACCTTTAAATATAGTCGTTTTTACATTGACACCTCATTTTTAAAATCTCCCCCTTAACTTACATTTGGAAACAACAGTGAATTTGTCACAGGCGTCAGTAAACTCGGTCCATCTCGACCCCCACATGTGTGAAACGTGCTGGTCACTGGCTTTGTTATTGCAGGAGGGATTTGAGGTGCTGATCACCGCGTGCTACTTCCAGAAAAAAGTTAACTGGCGTGATCAGTTGGGAATTTCACACTAGAGATCAACCAATACTGCCCTGTTTATGGGAGATTATTTTATGATAGATTATTATAAGTGTCTGATATGCAGAAATTACTTTTAATTGTTTTTTTGTTGACTCAGTAACTAAATAAACTAAAAAGTTCATTATAACAACATCAATTATTACTATTAAATAATAATAATGATTGAATTGTTATGTAGCTGCTACTGTTGTTAATTGTAGATTTATTTATTTTATGCAGAATTTTGTAATAACTTTTCTTGCTTAAGAATAAATTGCTGTAATTTAAAAAGTCATTATTCAAACAATACTTTTAAATAAGTTGCTTTGCCTGTATGTGCTATATTTCATAGATGAATGAAGCCATTGATCAGTAGATTATTAACAAACTAATTAAGTTGAAGAGTGAATATTTGTTTTAAAAAAAAGACATCAAGCCTATTATCGGTTTCTAATTGGTATGTTGGATGATTATGGCATGACCATGTTTTGGGTCATGTTTGATTTTGATTTTTTTTGCAGCATCCATCTTCCTGCATATGTTTACTATGTGCACAGTTTGGTCATCTTATTTAATGCAGTGATCGCAGATTACAGACAGCGTGTGTCAAAGGATTTACAATCAGAGGCTGGGAGTCTGTGTCAGGCGCAAGTCATTGACCGTTTCGCGATTCATCCTTGCATCCTAATTGCGTTCAGTGTAGGTGTCCAAGGTCATTCAGCACAAAAGCTCTCAGTCCCACTTCAGTATCCTGGTAACTTCGCAGCAATGCGTGAATGGGACTGTGAATAATCCAATCGGTTGCTTTAATCTTGTGATTGAGACGTTTTTCAAGTCATCCCTCACATTGCGCCAGTCTTCTATTGTAATCTCAATTGTCCCAATGCTTATTAGTGTTAGAGTGGCTATTAAACACGGTAAGGATTCTGTTGTCTTTGCATTACCGCAGAAGGTTGAACATGTTTTGGCATTGTAAATCCTTGAGCTCAGGTGCAAAAATGTTGAATTGAACATTTTAATTTTCTTGCATCCACTTTGCATCTTTGGATTTCTGTCAAACTTTGTCATCTCATTTGCGTGAGCCAGTCAACACAAGTTGATGGGAATGTAATCAAAGCAGATTTCCCAGCTACTCGCTCAAAGATGATTTGGTGATGCATCGGCTTAGCTGACATTTTCATGTACCTCACCTGTTTGTTTTCAGCCCTTGTTGATCTTATCCGGGGCCATGTCTAAAAAAAGCAGGTGGATAGTTCGGTAAATAGAACGCAAATCCAGTTGTAAGAGGATACAATGTCTTTTACGTAGGAGAAAGCCTACCCTATAAGGTGGCTGTATGACTGGCTGTTTGTCTTAAATTAACAGATTTACTTTGCACGTTGATTTTCTCATTCACCTGATTTGTCATGTAGCCCTTAACAATCTCACCTGTTGAATATTTGTTCGTCAGCTGAATCAAACTCTGACTTCTGAACATTTTATAATAATTATTAACAGGGAAAAGCATCTTGTTTTATCAAATAATCTTGCATTATTTTGCCTTAATAAGGCTGAAAACTATTGAAAGATTGTATTTGCTGATGAGTGTCACAAGCTTTGTGTGTCGAACACAGTGGATATTACAAAGGCAATGATCCAGTGTGAAGTTTAAGGTGTTGGCCAGCTCCTTTTCTTCTCAGGATCCGTTCTGGGGGCCGACAATGGAGATTCTTCTTGGCAAGCTGACAAAACGGCTCCTTGCACATTGTTCATTGGTTACACTTCACAGTCGCGCTCCATATCTCTGCCCTAGATGAGAGAAGGGCTCGGCAGGAAGAGGCCTTATTCGCTTGGGCTCTCTCCGTGCTCTTTGTCTGTGTGAAGCACGCTTGATTTCCTGGCAGTGTGGCTGTGAAACGAGCCCTGAAATCCCACCGCCTCCAAGAGCTGAGAGAGGCCGGCGTCCTTCAGGATGTCCCCCCTCACCCCTCATACACAAACACAGCCAGAGGACTGAGCCAGCCGA